CCTAAGCACCGATCCACCCACATATCAAATTATCAAAGTAGTGAACACAAATCAAACCAACATGGTGAAAGTGACTAGATGAAATTTCCGTGTATCCTCAAGAACGCTTTGCTTTTCATAAGAGACCGTTTTGGCCTGTCCTTTGCCTTAAAAGGATTGGGCTACCTTTCTGCACTTTTGTTACTACTATCATTATTTGCTCATTACAAATTATCTTGCTATCAACCTACTCGTTACTTATAATTTCAGTGATTGCAGAGAATACCTTGCTGAAAACCAGTTGTCATTTCCTTCTGCTCCTCATGGGGTTCGACACTCTTACTTATCGAAAGGACTATGATTGATCCCATATACTTGTAGGTCATCAAGGCTCTTTTCTGGCGCTGTTTCCGGGGAGTGAAACACTCTTGGTAAGTTGAAATTGGTAAGAAAAAATTATTACTACATGCTGAAATTTATTGTCACTTGTTACTATGGAGAACAATCCTTTGAGGGGTTTGTTCGGGGTATCTTCACCTCGAACGGAACCACAATTAATTATCCCTCAACCTACTGGACCTACTGAAAATATTGAATATGAAATTCCTTCGGGTATGATAGAACAACTACTAGCTAATCCTTATGCACGAGATGGAACCAAATATACAGATATGCACTTGATATATGTGGATGAAATTTGTGGATTGTTTAAGCCTGCAGGTTTACCCGGAGATGAAGCTAAGAGCATCTCCAGCTGCGCCCCCAACAGGACCCCCGGGCGATTTTTCAGCGCCGACGCCCAAAAATCGGCCCAGTCGCGCCCCTAGCAGCCTGTTTTTCGCCAATTTGGGCCGAAATTGGCGCCGGCGGATCCAGGCCGAACCCGACGCGCTGGGGGGCGCCCGGGGGCGCGGGGGCAAGTGTTTTTGGCATGAAAGAACGGCGGGCCCGCCGAGTCAGCGACCCCCCGAGCCTCGTTGTCCTCATCACCTCGGTTTCCCGCGGGGAATCAATGCGTAGGATGCCGCCAGTCAGCCTTCCATTGATTCCTCACGGGCGGCGCGACGACACCCCCTCTCCCGCCTCGCGTACACACGGCGCCCACCCCCGGATCGCTATAAAGCAACGCCTCCCCCTCGCATGTGACCACACACCGCCCACAGCCGCCGAGCTCTACCTCTCTCTCCACATGCGCAGCCGCCGTCGACGTTCCTTCCCTCTCTCCCCGTGCCTAGCCGGGACGATGGGCGAGCGTTTCCCGGAGATGGCGCGGCGGCCAATGGCTTCGGCCGCCGCACGATGCACGAGTGGTAAGCCCACTTGTTGTTCCAGGCGAACACCCCGGCGCCTCCCTCCATGCGCGCGCCGGGGTGGTGGAAGCTCAGCGCCGGTGGCATCCCCATCCCCCCGCTGCCCGACGTCGACGTGCGCCCCGACTACTTCGCCGACGAGGTCGACCGCGTGCGGGCGTCGCTGATGGAGGAGCAGCGGACCCTCCCGCAGTACGCCACCGGCAACCACGAGGCGTGGGCGGCATACTTCCGGCACCGGTAGGCGCAGCGGCTCGCCTCCACCAATGGGGCGCTGATGGTGCGGGGCACCAAGAACAGCGAGGGGCGCCGCCTGTGGTGGGGTGCCCCCGGCCGCATGCTCCACTCCATTCTCCGGCACCTCGAGGGCAGCAACGACCCACCGTTCACGTAACCTACTGCCCGGTCTGGAGCGGCGGCCAATCGATGCCGAGGAGGACGGCATCCTCTTCTTCCTCCTTCTCCCGCTCCTCCTCACACTCCTCCGGGTCGCCGGCGCTGTTCGGCGTCAAGGCCGAGCCCGCAGAGACGCCGCTCGGCTGGCGCACCCGCAGCACCGGCATCGTCATCAATGAGGGCGGGCACGCCTCCTCCTCGGCTCCTCCCCGCTTCATCAAGCCGAAGACGGAGCCGGCCGCCGTGAAGTCAGAGCCCGGGCTCGCCTCCGTGAAGACAGAGCCCCTCGCCGCCGTGAAGACGGAGCCGGGGCTCTCCGACGAGGCGGCCTTGAAGTGAGTGCGCAAAGACTGGGCGCGGATGGAGCTAGAGCGCCAGTGCCATGCCTTTGAGAAGTTCGCCGCTCGGCGCCGGGGCCGCGGCGAGGGAGATGTCGTCGTCCTCGGCAACGACAATGACGAGGACGCGCCGCCACTGGTCCGCCAGGGTGACCCCGGGTCGGGGTCCAGCAAGGGCGGCCGCGTGAAGGAGGAGAAGGACGATGATGACAATGGCGATGGTGGCGACGGCGGCGACTTCGCCGCGCTCAGCGCGTTCTTCGACCCGTAGTTGCGGCCATTGTTTTTTTAAGTATTTTTAGTTTCCTATGTAAAAAACTATTTAAGTTTCCTAAGTAATGTCATGTTCGCCTAATTATAGCCGAAACTTTGTCCCGTTTGCCGAATTTTAGCCGAATTCGTTTTCAAAAAGTATTAAAAATGCCTTTTGGGGGCGACCCTGGGGCCGGCGGCTGGGAACCCGAAAGCACCTAGGCCGATTTTAGCGTCGGCTCGCCCCCAGGCGGCGATTGGCTGGAGATGCTCTAAGAAGAAGGTTTTTCCATTATCTTTGAAGGGAAAAGCATTGGCATGGTATATGCTATGCGATGATATTGGATCTTGGAATTGGAATCGATTGAAATTGGAGTTTCACCAATAAATTTATCCTATGCATCTAGTTCATCGTGATCGGAAATATACATGATAAGTTTTTTGTCGCTCTATGTGTTGGGGATTTGGTCGGATATGCAACTTGTGTTGGTTATTTGGCCGGATATGCAACTAGTTGATCATGTATTTTCTATCTTGGCTAGCCGTGCGGTCACATTGTTCCTAAAAAAGGAGAATAAGCACTTCCTCTTCATGCATTATTTGTTGAAGTTGAATGTGCATCCGGAGTGGCTCAATGTCGTCGTCAATTTCGTCAAGACCGCCGCCATGCCCAATGTATCTGAATATGGTGATCCAACAAAAGGAGGCCTTGCACCGGCCAAAATGATTGCTAGGGATCGGGAAGGAAAGTGGGAGAAGGAGAAGGAGAAGCGAGAAGGGCCAACCAAGATGATAGAGAGATTTGAGGGCATCAATGACGAACAAGGAAGAGACATGCGTCAGGCACAATAATGTGGAGGAGGAAAAGGAGGCCGAGAGGTTTGACAAGTTCATCGTGGTGGCACTAGGAAGAGACATGCGTCAAGCGCAATAACATGGAGGAGGAAAAGAAGGCCAAGAGGTTTGACAAGTTCATTGTGGTGCAAGCCAAGGTGATAAAGCTCCAAAAGAAGAAGATTGAGCTCACGACCGCTTCGAAGGAGATTAAAATGTTGACCATGAAGATGTCGGACTTGGATCTGAATGTGGCGAAGATCATGCAAATATACCATGCTAGGATGTTGAAGCTTTTTGCACGGACAATCCCGCGCACTCGGCCGCACAGTGAAGAATTTGGCTCGGACTGAGAGGCAAAACTGAGTTTTTTGCACCGACAATCCGGCGCCTTTTGGTTGTGATTGCATATGTAATATGTTTGACAAGGGCATACAACTCCCTACAAAGAATAGGAGCATGCAACTCTCTCTTTTTTGACACTTTATAGGCGCATGCAACTTAATTAGAATTGTGGTGTTTTTTTTGACATGATTAGAATTGTGATGCTTAATTTTGGTGAGAGTGAAGTGAGTATAATTAAGCACCGTCCGCGGATCGAGTTGTCTTTCTGCAAACACTGGGCCTCAAATCCGGGCGCTGGCTAGAACATAATTGGGTTCATGACTAGGATCACATGCAAGGCGGAGGAGGCACCCCATGGATCATGGATGGATGTCAGCCTAAAACAACACACGGTCGTCAGTCAGTGAGTCAGCACGGTCGTCAGTCAGTGAGTCAGTAAAACGATCAACAATTTTAGTAGAAGCAACTAGTAATTATTAACAAGATTCGATCAATATACGTACTCGGCCCCTCTCTATACTCGAATCCTGGCTCCGCCACTGAGTCAGTAGGTGGGTTGGTTCCATGTGACTCAAGCCAGAGCGATCCCGCGCCAAACGCCACCCTTCATCAAGTTTTCTAAGCGCGAATGGTCCCTGTCCGGCGCACCCTACGCCCAGTACAATAATGCGTCTGGGCCGTATCGCGCTGCACCGCTGCGATCGATCCAAAATCTTTCATTTTCTTAATCCTTCGCCTTGCTTTGAGTCGCATTTCAAGCTCTGCTCTCGCCGAGTTAAACACACTCCACACTCCACACTCCACACTCCACAGCCGATGGCTCGGCTGTACAAACTCGAGGCGGCAACAACGGTATTGTATCTGCGTAGATTTGTTTATGATCATGTCTAGAGATGCCGTCGTACAGCGTCGCTTTTGGTTTGGAGTGGAGTGAAGTGGACACTGCATCGAGATGCATGCAAGAACAATATAGAATTGGTGGGTGGCGGTGTCCTTTCGGCCCAGCGACAACACGCACAGAGCAAATCACCGCTGGCAATGGCATCCAAGACCTAGTACTCCACCGTAGTGGTAGTGATGTTTTGAATCTGCCACCCTGCTTTCCGTATTCTATCACGGAATGTGGGAGGCAACATTATTGCTCTGTCTCCCCTGTTTTCGCAAGAACAGATCAGATCTTCAACAAGGCAGGCAGATCCACATCGCAGCTACGTACTACTCGAAATGTGTTGTGGAATGAATCCAATGAATGAATTCGAGAAGCACTAGTATATCACATAAATTACAGCATACAGACCAACAAGAAAACCAGAGAAGAAGAAGAAGAATTGAGTGTTCATCAATCAAGAAGAAAACAAGGAAAAAGGAAGAAGAAAGAATAAAGCCGATGGACATACACATCATCAGATCACAGTATCGGTACAGGGGATGCGTGCTGAGTGCTGAGCGCACCGCACCGCACCAACTCGATCACGCACAGTGCAAGAAAGATGGCACCACCACCACCTTGTGTCGTTCCTCTCGGATCGGATCGGATCGGATCAGATCAGAACATGGCGCCGAGGACGGCGGCACCGAGTACAGCGGCCCACCTGGCGACGCCGGAGAGGGACGCGGCGGCGGACTTCTCGGTGTCGTCGTCGGCGGTGGCGTCGTCGGCCTCGGGCGCCTCGGCGATCCCGGCGGACTTCTTCTTCTTCTTGGGCTTGGACTTGGTGGGGGCCGGGGCCGGGGCGGGCGCCGGGGTGGGCGGCTGCGGGCCGAACAGCTCGTAGGGGAGCGGCATCTTGTCCACGGAGTAGCAGGCCAGCGGGAAGTCCTTGCTGACGACGCTGCCGAGGAGCATGTTGTTGCCCTTGACGCCGGTGGAGACGTTGACGTTGTTGCCGGAGGGCTTGATCTTGTAGGTGTAGGGGCCGGAGTGGCCGGACGCCTGCGTGCTGACCTTGCCGTTGAGGGTGCCGAGCATGGAGAGGGAGTAGAACCGTGGCAGCACGCAGTAGAGCACCATCTGGATCTGCTCCTGGGACGAGAGCCCGTTGAGGGTGCCGGCCTTGAGCCCGTCGATGGCGGCGTCGGTGGGCGCGAAGATGGTCAGCCCGTTGTAGCTGTCCGTCAGCTGCGCGTTGATCTGGGTCTCCACGCGGGTCTCCTTGAGCAGCTGCACGAACTTGGAGTACTTGCCGGACTTCTCCAGCATGGCCGTCACGTCCGTCGGCGGCTTCCCGTCGGCGGCAGCCGCGCCGGGCGCGTCGGCTGCGGCCGGGGCGGGCTTCGCGGGCGCCTCGACGGCCGCGGGCGCGTCGGCGGCGGCGGGGGCCGGCTTCGCGGGCGCCTTCGCCTTCTGCGCCGACGTCATCGCCGACGCCGCCAGGAGCAGCGCGGCCACGAGCAGGATCCGCGACGCCGACGCCATTGCCGTGGTGGTGTGCCGGCGGGCAATGGGTTGGTGGGTGGGGTGAGGAGGGGCTGGTCTGAGAGGGAGCGCGATCTCGCAGTGCGTGTTTAATAGACTTATAGTGGCGGTGGGTGGCGACGAGACGGGACTGGTGAGAGTGCGAGGTGGGCTGGGAAGATGCGCGCGGTGGAAATTCCTTGCGAGCTAGCTAATCTGACAGCAACTTTCTCTCGTATTTACGCTCCGTGGCCGTGGGTGATGTGATTCACGAACTACCTTGAGTGCCTGAACCCGAAACGAATGCGAATAAACATTTTTTTTGAGCAATCCACGTAATTTTTCACTGGATTCTCAATGCACACGCCCTAGCTAGGTTACTTGGCTCTGCGTTGCTTGTGTATCGGTAAAGCTATCTGGCGAGGGTTCGCTGGGGTTGAGATCCCAGCAAACGCCCCCAAAAGCGCACGATCTAAATCCAATGGTTGACAGTTTTCGACGATTTTAGCACTAAAAGATAATTGTCAGGCATTTTCTAAAACTGTTCTAGGAGCATCTATAGCTGGACTTGGCCAATCCGGCCCTGGCACGGCTCATATGTTGGCTTCCACATCCACGTCCCTCATATCCGAAACCCCAACACAATGCAACCCGTGCAACGCTACGTATTAACATGATCAACACGCCGGATCACCATTACATCGCCTAACAAAAGCATAGTTCATCGAAGTTCATCAGCTAACAGTGCACATGCATACTACAAATACTTAAAGCATAGGTTAAACATAAATAAAACGGGGAAGAGCGGAGGAAATCACCATTTCCTCGTCGGACTCTTCCCCTTCCGGTCGTCGGCACGGCCGTGCCCCTCCTCCATGTTGGCGTCGGCATGTGAAGGTGCGTCGAGCTAGAGGTGTTGCCGTCTGTCAGGTTGAAGTCGGAGTTGCACCTTTGGCCCGACAGCCTGCGGAGCAAACGGTCCTGATCCGTCGCATGGGCGGGCCATCTTTGCTTTCGCTTTCGCCGCCTTCTTGTTTGCCTCGCGCTCCGACAACTCGATGGCGAATCGGAGCGCCTTGGCATTCTTGCGGCGGAGGCGTCGCGTATCTGTCTCCGCCGTCTTGAGAGAGCGATGGAGGACCGACGCGAGGAGTGTAACCTCCAAATCGACCAACGCGCGGTCAGCGCCTCCCCCGCCGCTGCCCTCTCCCTCCCCCGCTGCCGCTCAAGCCGGGCTTCTCGTGCCTCAGACTCGGGTGTCCTCGTGCATGCAGGCGCCGGCACCGGCGCGGCTATGCCCCTTCTCCATTAATTAGCCCCATAATCACAGCTTCGCCAGTCCTGACGCCGGCGCTGGCGGGGCTATACGGACGCATCTAGACGGCTCCGTGTTTGGGCTTGATATGAGGGGCGCCGAACAGCCCGAACGTTTGAGTACGGTTCAAGGCGGCCGACTGAGTCATTTTTCATAACCGGGCCGTCTGTCCGAGCGTTTGAGGCGGGTTTAAGACGTGCTCGCGTCCTGCGTGTAGATGCCTCTGATGAATTACCCAGTAGCTCCATGTGGCGGTGAAGCCAGGCAGAACCCAGGGTGGATGTGGATGCTTTACCTCCAAGCACAAGCACAAGGCTCAGAAAGAGGACTGTACAACATGTTACCGATCAATCCTGCGTGTATGATGACACTTTTTTCTGTCGGCCGGGTGAGTGGCTCGTAAGTATGTCCGATCTGAAAAGTCCAGTTGGACACGCATATAATAAGTACCACTTACTAGTATAGCATATTCATATTCATCAGTTGGTGGTACGAATGATTGCGGTAGGAAATGTGTACTTTCGGGGGCAACATGCATGATGCTGAGTTTCTTTAAGAAAAAAATATATAAATCGTCGGCACGCAAAGCTACTGGTGCTTCGTTCATTTGCACCGACAGTATGCGTGTGCGCGTCGTAGTAGAGACTCGCCATGAGAGGGTCGTGGTTGGCTCTAGTGCAATCGGGCTGTCCACGTCGAATCATTGATGGGTCGACAGCGCCCGCCCAACGTACTCCCGTCCGGCTTCTTGCTTGCCACTTTGGGGCCGTGCCCGCCTCACCTCACCTCACGTCTCACGTAGTGTGCTACACTCGTCTCTAATCGTACGTGACTCTGCATTTGGGTGCTCTGTATTTTATTCTCGGCAAGAATTTGGGTGCTGGTCGACGGAGATCGGGTAGCCGTAATATATTGCCCTGCTGGGGCGGGAACGCGGTCGCCGACGCAAAAGTGGCGTACGCAGCATGCAGCAAGGGGGAGAAAGAGATCGACGGCGACGGCGACGGCGCAGCGACGCGGACACGACGTCCGATCCGCCGACTCCTCCCTGGCCGAGTAGTATCTTCGAGGACACGTAGTGCAGCACATTCACAGGCGCCAAGTTAACGGGGCCACACTCTACATTGTCCGCGGCGGCTGCTATGAGCCTACGAATGAACAAACAAATCCACAGCACCTGCATGTTCTCCGCCGTATCCCTCGACGTTACGGTACATGCATACAGCTGTGTTATCTCATGTGGACATGTGCGTGCGTACATACGATACGACCATCTCCTACTCTGAACTAGTAGCCCATCTCCTCTCATGTGCGTACGTACGTTACGTGTACGTACAAGGGGGGAGACCGACGACTACCGTCCGTCCACGTGGCGCGCAAATCTGGATCGCGAGCTCGCAAAGAGAAAGAAAAACGGGTGAGAGGTGGCCGGGCGCTGGGTCGATAACAAATGGTTTCTTCCAGCGCAGCCATGCACAAGCTTGTGATTTAGCGACAGCGAAAGCCCACCGGAACCTGGCTGGCATCATGTGTGCGAGCGTGTCACTGTCCGTCCACCCGTCTCTCTCCTCCGCTCTGTCCTCGCTTGTTGTATGCACTCTGCAGTCTCCGCCGCCCCACCAAACCTCCCCCGTGGTCTCGTATAACCCACGAGAATCACACCGACTGACTGAATTAGGACAGGTTTCATGGTAGGCTCTTGCATTTTCCACGTATGAGGCAAACGCACTGCTCGGAGCGTCTACAACCGCGATGGGCAAATCCGGCGCGTCCGCGGGCACTGACGATCATGCTTCAAATAATGTCATCCATATCCGGACACCTCAATTATCATATCTCAAATCTATACAAACTCATGCAACATTACGCACATCGTCCTGTTACTCCATCCCTACTAACATGCCATCGTATTATCAAAATTTGGCATGTTTGGCTATGGTAGAGATCATCCACTGCTGCCCTTGCCTTCCCGGGGCCTTTGCTGTCCTTCCTACAAAAGTGTCGGCTGAAGACACATGTCAGCAACCGTGATCGTCAGGAGGGAACAACGAAGGAATAGGGGATGTAATCACAGCAGGCTAGCTTTAGTATTCTAGTTCTGGGCCTTGGGCCGTGTGGGGTGTAATGGCCAGCGGGCCGTGGCCGCGCGAGCGGTGTGTACTTATAGACCAGGGTTCAGTCGAGCAAGACAACGAATCTGTAACAGGATAGTCGCTCAGTCTAATTCCCCATTCCCCATTTCTTTCTTCTACCTCACGTAAACTCCATCTCTGTAATAAAATTCGAATTCAGAGTGGTTTATCTAGTGATTGTGATCCTTACCTAGTAAGGTCATCACAGTTGGTATCAGATTCGGGCGATCGGCGGCGGGGAGGCGAATTGGGCTCGTCGGCGCTTCGGTTGGGCTCTCCCGTAAAATCCCGGCTCGTCGACGGAGCTCGCGGAGGTGGTGGGTCGGGTGCTTCGTTCCAGCACCGGCGGTGGAGAGCAATCAGGGCGGCGGAGATCATTCGGCAGCGAATCCAGGTACGCGCTCGGTTTCCCGGTGATTTTCAGCTGGGTGTAAAATTCCGAGGCGGCGACCAGGTTGGCGCTGCAGTGGAGGCGTGGGAGGTCGGTTGCAGAGGACAGGGCGCGTGCGGAGACGGTGAGCGACGCCCCAGTACTCACTGACCTGGGCGGCGGTAGGATCCAGGGGGCACCACGGCTCCTCCCAAGGCCAGTGTGCAGACAGAGTTGGTCCTAGGCTCCATGGAGGCATTTGAGACAAGGGTGATGCAGAGGCTGGAGGTGCTATCAGATTTGGGAGACAAAATCGGCCGCATCGATGAATTTTTCACCAGGATAGAAGAATTGGATCAGAAGTTCAACACGCAGGTGGAACGCATCGATGTGATTCAGAGCCGTTCAGAGCAATGTCAATTTGACTATGAAATCCATTGGAGAGGTAAGGCAGGACCAGATGGCAGCAGCCCATGATCAGTTACACAAATAGGCGTCACCCACAGTTTCACCAGCGGGGAATGAAGGCATATTGGGGTCACCCCCGCAAATAACATCGCAACTGAGGAACCAAGCACCGATACCCAATGCGCCGCCAGTTCAGAACAAGTCCTAGCCCAATTTGGATAAGTAGAAGAAGGCATTTGTGTCTGATTGTCAGGATCAGCATCCGCGTAGACCATGGATGCCCAAAATGGACTTCCCTCGTTTTGATGGCACTGATGTGCGAATTTGGCTCGATGGATGTGAAGCTTATTTCTCACTGTATGAAATTCCGGAGTTCTTCAGAGTCACATCAGCTTCCCTGCATTTGTATGGTGATGCGGCCAATTGGTTTCATGCGTATAAACTGACTCATCAGTGGCCTAATTGGCATGAGTTTCGCTCTGCTATGATGTCAGAGTTCGATGTCAATGTGCATAGACACAAAATGAAAGAGTTGACGATGCTTAAACAGTCTGGGTCAGTGGCTGAGTACAAAAGAGAGTTTACACAATTAATTTTCCAGTTGCTGCTGTATGAAAACACAGTTAGTGACACATTCCTGATAACTAGGTTTGTGTTGGGTCTGAGAGAGGAGTTGAGAGCTGCGGTGGAGATGCAAATACCAGCTACAGTCAGCGAAGCTGCGATGTATGTTGGTATTCAGGAAGAGGTCTTGGCTAGAAGCAAACATCTTAAATGGACAAACCACAAAGCAATG